CTGATAATTAATTGTTTACTGTAATCTTTTGCAGCTATCATTTTATCATTTAGTGTTAGAGGCTTTGGTCACTTAAGGTATTTTTAAGTTAACCATGTTATTGTCAATATTTTCACAATCATACAATCATAGTCATCACGTGATCACACATTTCAGGTTTAAACTGAACGAGCTCTTTGTCTTGCAGTAATTATTGCTTTGCTGTGTTGAAACACTTACTACTGTAATACAGAGGAAATGCTGCTTTTCAATTGGTTTTATGACTGAGGCCTCAAGTAGATATGTATAGAAGTTTTCTTTCTTTCTTGTAAAGTATGCAAATATCAAGGAATGAATGTGTCTGTAATCTACAATTCACAACAATAGTGGAGCTTGCCTTTAACTGAAGAATTATTTGTCATGTTTAGGACAAGTGCTTGTGGCAGCTGGCTTCTCTGAACAGCAGTCTGGACTCAATCATGTGCTACACTTTATTTACAATATTAAATTATTTTTCAAATAATTTCTTGCGGATGAAGTATACATGTAACCACTGTATTTATTTTATTTTTTTCACAGATCTAAGAAAACACTTCACACCCTACAACCCCTAAAAATGTATGTTGCTACCTTAAATGTTTTTTTATTATATTTAATAGTAATATTTAAAATAAACCATGTCATTGACACTTTGACAAACATATTTGTACTGTAATTTTTTGAATGTCTTAAACTTGTTTTTCTTTTTTTACTTCTAGAACCCAGATTTGACAGCAGTGCACACCCATCTGAGGCCAACCTGTTTTACTTCATGATCACCCCAGATACTTCTACAACTAACCCGCTTTGTAAGTTCTCATAGCTATACCTTAAAGAAGCACATCATTTTGGGAAAATTTCCTGTGTATTTGCTGGTAAATTACTGAGATACTTTTATAAAGATTAATGTTGATTATATACCTAGTTCAACAAAAATGAAAATGATGCCACTTAATCTCCGTCCTGTCATTCCATCCCATAAAAAAGTGTGCATCTTCAAGACATGAATGAAGATATTAACCCCAAAACTCTGAGACCCAAGAAACCATAAAATAAATCCGTATGAATGGAGCCGTGTAATCTACTTGAGGACATGAAAAGTTCAGTAGGCTTTTTGCTTTAAATGAATGGTTATTGTCATGGTGTAAAGCTCTTTGTTAATAACTGGAATCTTTTCTGGGAGCGTCCTAGGCTTTTTCGCGCTGATGGCCTGGATCCCAGCAGAGTCGGAGCGGAGCTCATGTCGGACAACATCTCCAGGACGCTACGCTCCATGTGACTAGTAAGTCAAATCTCAAATAACTGCCCTGATGACTTTTGTTCTACCCGCTTAAATGATAGAAGTACTTGCGCTGTACACTCTATAAAGACTGTGTCTGTTCCCCGAATAGTGAGGTCAAAATATAAATTTAATGCAGGATCTAGAAAAAATCTGTTCATGATTAAACCAGAAAAATTTTAAATAAATGAACAAAAACAATTTTTAAAGTTTGGGCTCCTAAACATTAGATCACTCTCACCCACTTTGACAGCAGTGCACACCCATCTGAGGCCGACCTGTTTTACTTCATGATCACCCCAGATACTTCTACAACTAACCCGCTTTGTAAGTTCTCATAGCTACACCTTAAAGAAGCACATAATTTTGGGAAAATTTCCTGTGTATTTGCTAGTAAATTACTGAGATACTTTTATAAAGATTAATGTTGATTATATACCTAGTTCAACAAAAAAATGAAAATGATGCCACTTAATCTCCCTCCTGTCATTCCATCCCATAAAAAAGTGTGCATCTTCAAGACATGAATGAAGATATTAACCCCAAAACTCTGACACCCAAGAAACCATTAAATAAATCCGTATGAATGGAGCCGTGTAATCTACTTTTGGGCCAAACTGTTCAATGAATGGTAAGGAGCAGTTTCAGTTATATTTCCACTTGAACTTGGTTAGGCATAGTCTGATCACAAACCATTCTTGATCTGGAATTATTAGCCAGACACACTGAACCGTGCTGTAGAATGCCTGGAGTGACGTCGCTGCTCAGGATTGTCTTTTGTCTTTTGCTTAGCCAACAGTTTCTCTGTAGCTGGCCGTGCCTGCTATTTGAGCGAAGTAAACAAGTTAATAGTAAAATTAAATTAAACATTTAATCTTTCATGACGTGTGCCATTTACATCTAGGACCGTATTCTAACTCTTCCATTACTAAGGTAACGACTGACACATTTATGTTGCATTCCAAAGAGCTCTGTTAACAGCCCAACATTGAAAAATTAAACCATATCCGTATTGGCTTGGGCCGGATCAGCACAAAATGGAATGGTTAAGCAACAAAAATGGTTTGGCCTGACAGTGGAAAAGCGGCTCTGATTGCTATATGATCAACTGTCTAATGTTTTGGGTAAATAGACAGAAATTTATATCGGATTTCACTGAAAATTTCTTTATTTGTGTTCCAAAAAGTCATGTTTTTTCATCACATAAACACATAAATTTCAAGTTTGGGTGAGCTAACCCAATGGCATGGTAGTGTAGGTAGGACAGATAACACTGACATCCATATTTCCATATTTCCCTACTAATATTGTTTTT